GGCGCCTTCCACAGGAATTTATGCACTTCTAGCTAAACTTGTGATGGATTGCACTAAAAGGGTGAAGGACCAATCAAGACCTGGAATAACACGATCAGGGGAGATTTTGAGTGCATAATCGGCTTAGGCAAAAGGAATGCTTCCAGTTGTTTTCAGTATCGGATGTGGAAGTTTTGAAATATTTTTCCTTAATCGATGGATTAGAAGAAGAACAATGGAAATTAAGCAGATTTTTATATGCATTTACCTATCATTGAAAATGTTTTTAACACTATAACAACATTTCCAGAAATTTAGAGAAAAATCTTCTTAATTCAGTGAAATTTTAATTATAAAAAATCATTATAGAAGAGAAATAAATAAAAGAGAAATTTTTGAAATAAAATAAAAAATAGTACTGTTGAGAAACTGTAAATAAATAGTTATTGCTCATAATTTTTGATTCAAACCACCAAGGCTTTTCACTGGAAACTTTATTTCTTGCGAGGCGAAATAACATTTCGATGCGAAATTAATATCTCGATGACAGAAATGATAATTGAAATGATAATGCGGCGAAAAAGCTTAAAAATGCAACACCTTTTTTTCAAAAAAATTTCGTATTTTATCATTCGTTATCGTACGCCTAAAACTTGGGTAGTTAAACATTTATTTAAAATGCATTAAAATCGCGTCAATACTTATTCTTACTTATCACATGAAGCAATAAAAAATATCATTAACTAAAATAAATCGAAAGAAATAAAATGAGAGATATGAAAGAAATGGCCAATCTTTGCTGTTGTTGGTCACTGTTCGACTTAAATTATTGGTTTTGTATGGCCACCTCAACTGCGTTCATTTCAGTAAACTTTGGTTAATCAGATTGTTTTTTTCCATTTCTCGCCTGTTAATTTGTTCTTTGCTCATTTTTGAGCATATTAATATTCTACCCTTAAATATAAAAGCACCTAGGGAAAATATAGATTTAATATTGATAAAGTGATTACTATGATCATTGGATCTGCTGAGTAAGCAAGTAAGCAAATGGTAGGCGAATGCTCATCAGTTCCGGTTAGAGCTGCTCTGGTTATATGGCCGGAAATTCTTGCCAGAGAGTCACTTGGCGATAGAAAAAGGTGGGTTGCTAGCATCATCCGACTTTCTGATTCTTACTTTACGATCCGAATCTTTGCCTCTCTACGATCTGAATAGCTGTTCGGCCACTCTGCCGATCATCGAGTGATAGTGAAATGGTAACAAACAAAAAATCGAAAAAGAAATTGATATCAGTTTTAAAATCAGTTCAAACCAAAAATATTTTAATGGTAGCTTTAATGTTAACCAGAAAAAAAACTTTTAGTCTTATCTTATTTGTCGAAATGGGAAAATCTGTCGAAATTTTATTTTTCTAAAATATATTATTCTGCTATAATATATAATATATTATAATATATTATATATATTATTCTGCTACTCTGTTCCCATTATCCAATCATTGTCCATTTACAACCATACCATACGAGCGTAAATTTAAAAAAAATTTCTTAATAGGCAAAAGGTTGAATAAACGATTCATATTTTTTAACTGCAGGCGAAAGTACACAATACACGACCATCTTAGCACAAATTTCTAAATCGAATAGAATTTTTGTTCTAATGACAGTAATATTATTCTTGCTTTTTCCAAGTACAGTTCTAATAACCAAGTGTATTATTCGCAACACCATTTAAATTTAAAGCTTCAGTCCATCGCCAGAGTTTATATTATATTATTATCTGGTATTATCTTTTCCACGTTTTATTCGGTTTCCTATCACTGTACAATTTCGTGTCACTAACACCAGTGAGCGTATTCGTCCTACCTGGTTTGTTTTTGGCTCTTAGTTTGTTTTTTATTTCTTGTAACTCCCTTACATGTTTTCTATTCGCTTTTTTATTATAATTCTTTTATTTCTTAATAATTATGGATTTTCTTCTTATCTTAGAACCAATATTTGTATCATAATTTTGTCATAAGAAGTTCTGCTAGTTGCTGAAACAAGTTGCCATATGTTGCCATTCTTGTCCCATCCGTCAGCAGCTTTAGAAGAAATTTTAATAATGTTATTAACGATATCTTGTGAAATTGTAAGATTCAAACCCCAATCCAATATCAATATTAGCCCATTTTTATTTTTTCTTTTCTTTCATTTTCACTCTTATTTGTTCCATTTCTATTTACATTGACTTCAAGTTTTGCTTGGTTTGGATCTTAAATAAATAAATATTTTAGTCGGCTCTTTAAATTCGAGTTCTTTGATTGAGCCTTTAGAATGAAATTTGCTAGAACAGGAAAGAATATTTTTTTTCAAAAATTTGAGTTTTTAATTTTAACTATGCACTTGAAGACATTTTTGTGCTTAACAAATGGCTGTTATACGAAAAAACGAATTCAATTCTAAACATAAATTTTAATAAGTCATTATTTCTCGGCTAGCCCATTTTTGCGATGAGTTACTTTGCAGTAGAAGAAGTATATCCAGTTGTATTGCCAGCACTAACCGGATTATCGATGATAGGTTATCGATTATCGATCTTCTTGTTGCGGATCGGACTTTAACACTCAGTACGACAGTTTATACTCAGATATTAACTCAAATATTCTGTTCTTTTAAGATGAAACATTACATCGTAATGTACCCAAAATACTGCGTTGAAACTCTAGTAGAGTCCGAGGTCATTTTGATAAATTTATAGATTAAATCAGAAATTTATAGATTAAATCAGAATCGAATCTGTCGGCCAAGAAAAATTGAAGTGGAAACGAGTCATTTTTTGTTTCGACTACAAATAAAAATTTATGAATTTATAATTCCAGAGAAAAAGAGTTTAACCCTTTATGCTGCTTAGTCAGGTCATTGCTTAGAAGCCCGCCAGTATTTCTCTTGCTAAGTGGATCTTTGTGGAAAAAATCTCATCCTTGCAGCCACTGGAGCAAATTAACCGAAAATAATGGATGTTCAAAAAAAAGAAGATAGCATCCATATTTTGTAATTCATTGTATTCCACAAATTTAGTATTTTTGCAAATGCATTAAATTCCGCACTTTTTATTATAGCTTTTGGTGGTATACTTGTCGGAAACAAATCAGATACAGCATTCGGATCCTGCTTCTGTTAGGAGTGGATCTGCCACTGCAAAATGTAAGTGGCACTGGCTACCCACTTGTACTTCTATAGCTAAATGATGAAATGGATGACCGCTTATTAACTTATTTTTTATTTTTTTTTACTTATTGGTATCACATTTGTTCTATTGATTCATTGCAGCGCAAATAATTTAGATATATCAAAATGTCCTTGACCAGTTTTTAAAACGAATTCAACAGTTACCCCCACTCTTCTATTCATATTTTCCAATTGCAAAATCATTCACCTTGTTTTCGAAATTTTTGTTGTCCATTCCTATTATCTTGTCCTATTCTCTCTAAAAATTTTCATTCTCTTCTTCTAACTATAATAGTAGCAACATTTAGGTCACCAATATAGCCTGAATTTTACTTTTAAGGTTTGCCAAAATGTCTTGGCAAAATGCCTCGAAATAATTTACGTCGAGAAGTTTCTTGATTACTTCAGAATTTTTACGATGAATAGAAAATCGATTTTTACTTGATCATAATTTGGATTATAAACATATTTTTCGCACTTTTAACAAAAAAGGATGAATAAAAGTATAGAGCAATAATCCTCGAAATAATGTTTGAGGAGTTTCAGTGGTTCTTTCAGGAAATTTAAAAGACTAGAATCATTTTCATAGAACTAATGGCAATTATTGTAATTTTAAACGTATTTTTGAAATTAAGTTCGTAATTATAATCTATATAAACGAAAGTTTTGACAGGGTCCTTAGTAACCAATAAGAGTTTAGAGGAATTCTGTGTGCAAAGATTTGGTGAAGCCGCTATTGCAGAACGAAATAACGGAACAAGAATTATAGAATAAGAAAACAATGGAATTATTAAAATTTACAAAAAATTAATTGTAAAGGTATTTTTCGAGCAGGCAAATTTTCTGAAAGAACCAATTTACAATGCAATAAGGCATATTGCTCTTCTTAAAATTGCACTCGTTTTTCGTTTACATTCTTTCATGCTTTTATATACTTTTTCAATCTTTGCTTTCCAGTTTTTTTATCTCTTTTAAATATTTTTATTTTCAGTAAATCGATTTCTAAAATTGAACCGAAAATATGACAAGTGAGTTATTTTTTAATGAATACACTTATTACGTAATTTTTGTTTATTTTATATTTTTGGGCTTATTGACATATCTTATTTGTGTGATTATTAAATTGATTCTAGACAGCGAGTTATTGCTATTTCAAACAACATGAATTTATATTACTCTATTTATGCAATCAAAATCAAAATCTCACGCGAATAATCGGTGAAATCATTAATGACATGAAGCTATAAGCCATAAGCTTTTGCGAAGCTTTTTGTTGGCCATTAGGACGAGCCATAATGTCACCTAGGGATGGCAGTACAAGTAAATTCCAACCTGGATTCTTGTTTATCCTCGTCAGCGAGTAGCAATTAAACCTATCATGCTTAGCTTCTTTTAATGCCATACATCACTGAATTGTTCTATCACAAATTTTTAAAGAATTGATGGAAATTTCGTTCAATAATTTTGTCATTTGAAATTTATTTTATTTTATTTTATCAAATTTATTTTATCAAATTATTTATTTTATCTTCATTCATACAACTGTAATTTAATCCGTTAACTAAATTTATTTAAATTGAATCTAATTAATTTAATTAATTTAACCAATTAAAATTATAAATACCTTAAACTTAGAAAAAAAACAACATTGAATGGAATTTTTTCAAATTTCTTAAATGATATTTTGATTTTTTCCAAAAATTTAGCCTTACTACTTCATGACGTGATTTTGAATTTTTCTTATAATATTTACGTTTCTGTTAATTTTAGGTTCATATTATATAAAAGGTGAGAACATCAAGATTTTCAGGAGTTTTGGTAACTGGTGCAACGGGTTATATTGGGATTCATTGTGTACAACAATTACTAAAGCAACAATATCTAGTGCGTGGTACTGTAAGAAACCCAGACAATGAGGAAAAAATGAAACCTTTAAAAAGTCTAGAAGGCTCTGAAAGATTGGAGCTTATGAAAGCTGACTTAGATCATGATGATTACTGGAATGAGTAAGTCGCTCTTCTTTATTTCACATGAATCAAATTTTTTTGTTGACAGCCTAAAGTTTTTTTCCAATTTAGAGTCGTGCAAGGCTGTGACTATATTTTGCATGTGGCAAGTCCTTTTGTAATAAATGATGATGATTCTATAATAAAAACCGCTGTTGATGGAACATTACGTGTGCTTCGAGCGGCGCAACAATCATCGTCAGTCAAGAAGATTGTACAAACCAGTTCGATAGTTGCTATTAATGGTTTTGTTTTAAATAGCTATTTCATTTTCATCATTGGCTGGCTGTCACCTTGTAAATTAATAGTTTGTGGTGGCTACTGAAAAAATAAATGGGAATCGAGAATAGGTCGAGTTCAATCGCTGACGCATCACTTCTTATCGGGTCGCTCAAAGACGAAAGCAAAAGATAGTAAAGTGGTTCAGTGGGTTGTTGCTCAATTTGGAGCAACGATGTTGAGATTCTACGCAAGAATAGACTTGTCCTCTAAAAATTTGAGTGCTAATGACCTGTATTTCTGTCACTAAGTAATTCCTTAGCAAAATATGCCTGCCCCGACAAGCCAGAGCAGAACGTAAGCACCAACAGTGGGTGCTCTTAGAAAAAACTAGCTATACATACATTTTGCTAGATATGATTATCATATTATTTCTTAAAATTTTAGTTAAATAGTGATTATTTCAAATAGTTATTTCAAAAGAACTCTTATATACCACAGAACGACAATAGCACAACTCGATTCTATAAAAATATGCGAAAATTTATGTTATAATATATCGTATGACTTTCCTGAACACTTGACGTTGATAAGAATAATCTTGTCATTAGAAAATTTGAGTAGTGCTAGCAAACGAATTATATTTCTATCGCTGAATGATTCCCTGGTAAAAATTTCGAATGTTGGCGACCAATAGTCTGACCAAAAATGATGAGCGCTAACCACTTACTTTCTTATTTGCTTAGAGTCTTATAAAAAATATTCAGAAGGACATGCCAATCCAGACAAACTGATGAATGAAAATGATTGGACAAACGTCGATTCATCGGACGTAAAGAACTATTCACGAAGCAAGACGTTAGCAGAGAAAGCTGCGTGGGATTTCATGAGAGATAACAAAGGTCCTTCATTACTAACGTTTCATTCTTCTTTAAGAATGTTAGGAAAATCGCAAAAATTAAAAGGAAAAAAATAAGTCAAATTAAAAATTCATAGGAGCTTATCTATCTAATCAATTTTCAACTAAGCGTAGAATAATTGTAAGATCGATTTTTTCTTCATCTGTTCTCCTTTCTTCATCAATTCTTCACAAAATAAAAAATTATACAGTTCATAAAGGCTATAAGAAAAGCTCTTTCATAAATCTAATGGCAGAAACTTCATAGATATTCATTTCAAACTGACTTGCATCAATCCTGTGTTTGTGGTTGGACCAGCTCTTCAAGAAGAACGAGGAACTAGTACAATGGCAAGTAAAATTTTTCTAATGAAATAAGTGGCAAAATTGTTTTTCCCTTAGTGTATTTTGCTAATGACGATTAAAATTTGGCCGAATCATAAAACAATTCTATTTTATTTTGTGTGAATTCTATTTTGCCTTGATATATTATTATTTCTCGCGAAATAATAATAATACATTGAGTATGTGATGGCCAAAATTTATTTTGCTTAAAATAAAAAAGCCTAATAGCTATCGAAGTAGGATTGGACTTAAGGTATGATTCAGAAAGATGCAAATTTACAATAAAGGTTCCAAATTATAGGAGTTTTTTGGTCCGCAAAGTAATGTGGACCACCTATCATTATTTAGATTATCGAATGGAATATTTGATTTTGATTTGATGATTGATTTGATATTTGATTATGCGTTTATTAGGTAAATTCACTGATCCATTTGAGCGAATAGATTCTTGCTCGCAAGAATTCCAACTTGACTAAAGCCAAAATTTCATCTATTTACCATCTAAAATTTCGCAGTTGCACAGTCTGATTATTTTCTTGAATCTACAGCATTTGCAGATTATTAAGCATTTTCTTGATGGTCGAATGCCAGCTTATCCAGCAGTACAATTAGCTCTGGTTGATGTTCGAGATGTGGCTACCGCCCATATAAAAGCAATGTGTGAACCAAGGACTGATGGTGAGCGGATTCTAATCGCATCCCAATCTAGCTTGTGGTTTCGTGAAATCGCTAAAATATTAAGAGATGAATTTGGCTCACAAGGTTTGCTTTATCTTTTCCATATAGATTACAGATTACAGATTTTTTGTGCTTCAAATCTTTCATTTTCAATATATTGTTGAAAAAGATTAGATATAAATATGATTAATAATCACTTATAATCATTTAATTTATAATTTATTTAATTTTAATATACCTTATATATCTTATAGTCAATGTTTGACAAAAAAAAAATTAAAACTTGAAGAGGACTTAGCTGAACTGTGATCAGAAATGATAAATAATAAATGAAGGATTCACAAAAATAAATGAAGAATATTTTTTGAAACGACCGCCCAACAAATTTTTTTATTTTTTGTTTTTTATTTTTTTAAATTTAATTGTCTATTTTATTATTTTCTTTAAATTTAATTTTTTGTCTTTGACAGGAATAAACCTGTCTTTACGTCAAAAATCCTGATGGTTGCTGGGAAATCACCGCTATCTCTATCCCAAAGTGACTCTTTGGTGAAAGGATCAAGTCTGTTTGACGCGATGTCCGCGTCTTTCGACATGCATGCTATTTCTGACCTCTTGCTATACTATATGCGATAAATATACGATCCGTAATAATGTTAATTAAAATATTTTTGATTTAAATATTAAAATATAACAATATTTATGCATTTGTATTTTTCATTAAATTATTTTATTAATATTCGATTTTAATGTTAATAATAAAAGTCAGAGTCATAGAATTTGCAAACCGAGATAAGTACTCAAAACCCGTCAAGCGAGGCAAGAACCTATCCACTTTGTAAACGCGATGAGGTGCTGGTTATAGCTGCTTGGAACGTCAGAACGCTTATGGATTTTGCAAGCCAAGCAATCATTATCCACACCCTCTCTAAATACCGCGTGGATGTGGCTTGTTTGTCGGAAATCCTTCTTCCTCATTTAGGCTCTCGAGTAATTATTTAATTTCGGTCATCAGTGTATATGCTCCAAATTTATCCGCAGATGGCCGCGTTAAAGATGATTTCTATGCGGAAATTTAACTTTAACTTTTAACAATACCCTAGCGAAAGGTGATATGATCATAATTGGGGGAGACTGGAATGTGCACGGCCATCTGTGGACAAAGAGTATGAACTCTTTGTTACTAATACTTTTTGTTACTAATACTTTCGGCATCGGAGGAAATATCTAGTCACGCGGAACTCTCCGGACAATCTATATTCCAATCAGATTGATTATATATTGGTCCGCTGGAAAAGTTCTGTACTTAGTAGTCGTTCTTATCGGGGCACTAAAACTGGTAACCGCCATGGATCAAATCATGTTGACAAGTCGTAAGAAATGACGTGTCCCAAGATCTTTTAATTATCTCAAAATAAAAGATCCGGGAGCAATAAACTTATTTCAAATCGTATTATTGGAACATCTCAATGAAATGAACGTCAATGAATCTCTGGAAAGGCGGATGAATACTGGTCTCAACTAAAGACGTGCCTAATCAGCCAAAAGTCGGCCACTTCCACACTATAATATACTGGTAGGAAGTGCGCAACTTTGGGTATCGGAAGCAACTATCCAACTTGAAAAAACTGTCAGTGCCCGAATATCAGGAAATCCTGACTATTGGCTGCTTCGAAGGATTACAACGACAGCACGAGAAGACTGAAATCACTATTGGAGCGATATGGCCTTGAGAATAGAGACGGTTTCTCGGAAAGGTGATAATAGGGAACTGTTTCGCCTTCTTCACAAAGCAATTATAACGCGAGAACGAGTCAGTGATATGATACGGAATATTAATGAGGTGCTTATTAAAGCAGTTAAGGTACAGTTAAGGTCCTTAGAAGATGGAAAAAATTTTTTGAGGCTAAACTTAGCCACGATGCACCATCCCGAATATAACTGATTCGCCCTTGAGCCTTACGTTTAGAACTGTTAAACGTTTACAACCGCCAACAAATAATCTCTGTAATCCATAAGCTTAAGGCCAATAAAACTCCCGGAGAAGATGGACTTCGGGTTGAATGCTTCAAATGTTTTCCATCATCATAAACCTTCAACACCTTCAACAAATGTATTCTCTGGTATGACAAAAGGAAATGATACCAGAAGACTGGAGCAAAGCAATTCTACTTCCAATTTCTAAGAAAGGTGACAGGAAGTGCTGCGACAATTACCGAGGAGTCAGCCTACTGGACATCTCCGGAAAAATTTTCGCTTCCTCTTAGACTCATTGTAACACGGGATAGCGGAATGCTTCCTAACCAAGCTGGATTTAGACCGGGATATTGACCAGGTATTTACGCTAAGAAGGTGCTGGAACATCGCTTCAAATACCAACAACCCACTGTCACTTTTTTCATCGATTTTGCAGCTGCCTTTAATTCACTTGAGCAGCACTCTGGAAAGTGATGGAATGTGGCGGTGTCTCAGAGAATATCATTCGACTTAAAAACGCATTAACATAGTATTTATCAGCATACTCTGGCGTAAGTATATGGAGAATTGACGGCTTAGGCTTAGGATAATGGGCATCGTTTGCTGGCACTCAAGAAGTGTGGAAATCAATCCAGAACATAGCAACACAGACCTGTGCTGATGATGTAGTTCTTTTTGCTTGACAGTTATGAGGAAATGCAAATAATGTTAAACAATGTATCAACAACTGCAACAAGAATTGGACTCAAAATCAATGTAAATAAAACGAAAGTATTTTCGTCTTGTATACAAGATGCTGATAAAATACCTATTTTTATCAATTCACTGCCGGTTGAGGATGTGCTGGACTTTAAATATGTTGAATCCACTGTAATCCCAAATGGCCAGGCGAAGGATAAAATCGTAACCCGGATAACGGCAGCTAGAATTGTTTTTTGGTTGATGAAACCTTTATTGTCGCGAAATCACCATAAAGACGAAAATCCGTGTCCATATAGTGCAATTCGTTTGATCTTGCTATATGGCTGCGAAACATAGCCAATTAAAGTAGAAGATATTAAGAAGCTATCAGCTTTTGACTACTCATATCATGTCCATCTTCGCACAAATACCGGCTATATTAATAATGTTATCACAGAGCTTCGCCTTCTATGGTTAAAGCGCATTCTCCGTCGTCCACCACAGGAGTTGGTGCATATTTCGTTACTTGCCAAACCTTGCGATGGTTGGCGCCAAAAGTGAGGAGGGCCAATCAAGGCCTGGACTGATACAGTCAGGAAAGATTTTGAACGTATAGAGAGACTAGCGATGCATGGACTTAGACGATGAAAAAAGGAATGCTTCTATTATTACTAACAAAGTCGTTAGATTTAGCAGTTTGGAGACGTTTTATCCTTGTAGCTAGCCGAGCCAGTTTAATCAGTGAGAGTTGTTAGAAGAAGAAGAAGAATAATCGTTTACACTAAGGTGATAATGGATAAAATAAAATAAATTATGAATGAGAAATCATGAATTCGATTTTTGCCTTTTTGTAGGAGAAAGCCAGCGTAATCTTAAAAGGATAACTTAAAAAGGATAACTATTTTAGGTTATTCTGTTCCAAGATTTCAAGCACCTTATCCACTCGTTTGGTTGCATTCCATATTCAACGAGGATTCAAGGCAAATACTTATGAGAATCGGACATAAAGTGAATTTGGACAACGCCAAGGTGCTCCTTTTCATTTTCACAACTGCTACTGTGACTCAATTTTTACTTTTCAAATTATTTTCGTATTTTGCTTTTAGTTTTTCCGAGTAGCCGGAATTTCTGAATTATCGTTTAAATTGAAAATTGATAGATGGGATTTAGGCTAAAAATTTATTGGGTATGGATTTCATCGATCCGAAAGAATCGTTAATAACAATGGTATACGACATGATCGAACGTGGTGTTTTACCGAAAAAAGCTGCTTATCGAGGAAGGAGAACCCAGGATTTTGAATAAATAATTTGGTTCAATCGGATAAAAAAACTATTAATCAAAATTGTCGAAAGTAAAAATAATCATTCTTCTTATTGTTCACTCATAAATTGCATAATTTTGAATTATTTGAGCTATAAAAAGATTAAAACAACAAATTTTTTCAAAAACATTAAAGCTCATATCAAACATTAAAGTTTTCTGAAAGCTCATCGCTTATCACTCCTTCCAGCTCAGATTTCGCTGACCGCAGGGTGATTCATGTTCATAAGTGCAGTGTTGTAATAAGTACTGCTCGTAAAAAGCTTGATAGTCTATAAATTCATTTAGAATATCATATGTGAATGGCATAGAATGGCAAATAGATAAATTAATCTTCTTCAGTATATTAATATAATTCAACAAATTTTCGAATTCTTAAGCAGTTTCAAATTTTTCAATGACTGAAATTATAATTACATTTTCGTCTGAGAATTCTCTAATGCATTGGTGCTCAAACTTCCAAACTTTTTGCACTGAAGAGCCATTTGTTATTAAAAATTGTTGAGGAATATTTCCTCAAATATTTTATTTTCGTAAATTTTCATATAATCAGCTGAGAATTTTTTTCCATGAAATTTATAAAATTTATACAACCAAAGATTGGACTAAAAAAGGCTGCAATCTTGGTAAAGAGCGAAAAATAGCGCAACTAATGTCTTAGTATTGTTGAAAAAAGTTTTGATCTGGAATATAGCCTCTCCCGGGTAGCATATTTCGAATTACCGCTATAACGAATCGATCATTCCAAATTTTTAGAAAAATTTTAATTTTGAAATATCGTCTTCAATGGTTTATGCAAATGCAAATTTTTGAGCTTTTAATTTTTTTACTTATTTGAATTTCTTTAACTACAGAATAATTTAAGAATTAGTTTTTTGGGGAATATATCAATATTATTCGCGTTTTTTTTTTTGATGAAATCGCTCAAAATCGCTTTTTTTGCTTAACCTTGTGAATTCCAATCGATCCATTCATTCAACATGGTGAATTAATTTCAGACGTCTGAAATTACGGCGAGAGAGAATTGAACTAATTCATTGTCGATCGTGTGATTTCAACATTTTTTGCATAAATTGCATTAATCAGTGCGAAAAAAACAATTTTATAATTTTTGAGAATTTTTACAATTTTTAAGGATTGGGGATTTTCGACCTATCCGAGATTTAATTTCATTCAAATTCTTAATTGTTAAATGGTCTAAAGAAAGAGGTCTATTCCAAAGTATGATTTTTCAGCTATAAATTTTACTATGATTTATTGCTATAGACCTAATCTTCAGATCTAAGCTGCACTATTCATCAAATTTTTCCAAGGGAATTTTCCGATTAAAATTTTTTCCAATACCAGAATTTATGGTTTTATTATTATAGTATTCCGCTCATTTATCCCATTTTTATTTTATATTTTTATCAGTCAACTTTTGATTGAAGTGGAGTTTTTTTTTAAAAGATAACCATTGCCAATTTTGATTAGATTTTTAACTGCAAAGGCATTTAGTGGAAAATTCTGCCTTCTATCCTTCCCTCTCGGAAATATCTTCTCCATTTCAATGTTCTTTTCAAACGGAATTACTTTATTTTGCTTTATTTATCAATCTTATTCCAGTAACATATTAATGCAATGTGCTGCTTTATATATTGTTTCAGATAATCCTAATTTAAAACATGTTTAAGAATTCTCTTTCAATTTATTAATATCTACAAATGAAAGTGAATAACGCGTTGGTTATTCGAACTATGTATTTTTTATTATTCAATGAGATTTATGAGATAAAAGCAAAATTGATGATCGAGAATTCCTGAGCAGAATTTTGCACCAATCTAGCTGATATATTTATATTTATTAAATTAGTGGATCAAAAATTATTAAAATTAAAAAAATTAAAATTACTCTTACTGAATCTTTTGGATTTTTTTGCAAACAATTTGTTTCAACCTCAAATTAAGTGGAAAAGGTCAATGAGGTTTCGGAAATTTGTGAATTCTCGATGAGCAAAGTGGCTTTTCGCTAGTATTTTAGATATTAAAATGAATTCCATTCAACTATGATCCTAAATCTTGGACTAATATCAATTGAATTTCAGAAAAGAAAAGCAAAAAACAAAATATGAATTTGATATGAATTCAATCATATTTTAGTCGGAAATGCTTAAACTTTTTAAAATTTTATTCTTAATTTTATTTATCAATTAAAAAGTATTTTCAATCAGTGAAACATCGAAAATAAGGAGAATTATTTACAAAAAAACAAAAAAGTTTCTGTTAAGTTGTCTCAGAGAAAACATGCAAAACAGAAAGATCTGCTAATAAGGCCTATATGGGCCAACAGTATTTTGCCATTGGGCTGAATACCTCCATTTTTTCGTTTTTTCTGAGACAACTTACAGTAAGCGACTGAATTAGATTTACATGACAAAAAAAAATTAAAATCAGAGAATTTTTTAAAATGACAAGTGAACTCGAAATAATTCCACCAATTTCAACTGAGCAATCGATATATTTTTTAAAAAAATTTCTTAATTCGATTAACCTTTTACTTCTTTTCAAATTATTTGTTTGATAATTTCCGTTAAGAACAACACCATTGCGCCAAAATGGTGCCTCCCCAATAAGAAAGGTATGGGGAGAACCAAACCACAAATGGTGAATACTATCAGATTGTTCTGTCAAGAGATGTGGAAAAATAAAGGAAGTCGATCTACTAGTAGTGAAAGAGTAGTTGCAAGACACTATTAATTCAATTCATTCCGCTTGCAACATGTTTTTTGAATCATATTCAGTCAAATATCAAGTTGAAAAGCAAGGCTGACTTATAAAAATCCGAATGAACTGTGGAATAGCTGTGGAAAGAATTCAAACATTGAGCAAGACGACTCTATAAATCATAAAAATGACATAATCAATAAAACGAAGGATTTAGCGATGATTTTTTTTGGGATCATAGCACCCGAGGAGTTTAAAAATGCAATTTAAGAAAAAAAATTCAAAAAATTCAAGAATTCAAAACAGACTAAGCTTTCTCTGGAATGATTTGGATGCAAAATGATCCAACAGATCCAGGTTTAAAGAAGTCCTCAGGTCAAATAATGAATGAGGAATTCAAATGAGGAATTTTCTTAGAGGGTGAAAAGATTTTCGATACCCGTCTATACCAAAATAATCCAGAAAATGGATCCTCAAGGAATAAATCCTCTATTGTGCGCCAATTGACTTTGGAAACATGAAAAAGTAAAAAATAAGCAGAAAAAAAGCTAAATGCATAATGAGAACTCAAATATGAATGCAAATTCCGTTTCAGGATCCAACATCCATGATTTATAATGAATTTAAATGCTGGAATGAAATTATGACTTCGATATTTTTTTTTATAAATTTTAGCGAGGTGGTTCGAATTATAACTTTGGTTTAGAGGTGTTAAATAGAAAATGTCACCAAATTCTTCAAAAAACCATACCTAATTATACTAAATAAGAAATTACATATGATAATAATAATGCGAAGAACAATGCTAAATATTTGTGAGAACGATTGGCAGATTTTGTTGTTGTTGTTTGTTGTACAACGGTTGTCGTTGTCGTATGCCTTGTATGTTCTGTTGTCTCTAAAAAAATTGTGGATAGTGGATAGATTCTTAAGAAATTATGAGAATTATTAAAGAAGGGATGAAATAAATAAAAATATATTTTTCGAGATATCAAATTATTTTAAGCCATTTTTCTTCTAAAAAATGAACCAAGCTTGAAGAAACAATACATTCTGGCAAAAAAGCAGATCTCAAGTTCAATGCAATATTTAGAAAGTGTAAGCAAATTTTAAAAATCAAGGAAATCTTGTTCTTGAAAAATTGAATTCCGACAAAAATTGTTAAATTAGAAAAATATGCAAAATTTAATAGTACTATGAAAAGTGATAAATTGTAAATTATAAATTGTAAATTGTAAATTTTAAATTGTAAAATTAAACAAAAAAAACCATGAAAAATATAGGATTAAATAATAATATTTATTAACTCATCTGAAATTTAGTTGAAATTTCAAAATTATTAAATTTAAAAAGAAAAAGAATAAGAAGCAAAAAAAGCAAAAAAAACATGGGAGTAAAAAAAATGGAGATATGAAAGAGGAAAGTCAAGAGTCTCATTCCGTTACAAGAATTTCATTTTTTTCTCTTCCATGCATAATAAATTTTACACGGATGAAATTTATTTTCAATCATTCATATATTTTTTAAACGTAATTTAATGTGGATCTGCCAAATAAGTCAGCTATATCATTTAAATAAAAGGACCTAGTTTGTTATAATATTCACGTAAGTGATTCTTAAATGTTTTAAGGACTTGGGCGGTTATTCTACGTTAATGATCCTGCATTTTGAAGTGATCCATACTTTTTCATTTTTTCTTAAAACAAAAAAACAGGCCTAGAAAAAAACCTAAAAAATTATATGGACTATGATATGTATGATAATATGTTGAAAGACGAAGGCCGATTGAAAACCTAAGTTTTTCGTTAATTATCACAAAAGATGGTTTAAAGTGAAAATAAAGATTTTTTACTTGGATAAAAAGATAAGGAACTTATCCCGTGCTTAAAAAATAATGAATTCTGAAGAAGGTAATTTTTTAAACAGAAATGATAAGTGGTATTAAAGAGGGAATAAGAATGGGAAAACCGAATAAAATGGTAAATCAAAGAGAAAACACCAAGGACCCCATGGACTTTATTTCCAGTGGAATTTATGAAATATATAAATTCATCTGCGTTGAATTTCGATACTTCATTATTTTTCACCATATTTCTCAAATATTTCATTTCTATAGCAGTGTATATATATATATATATATATATATATATTATCAGTATATATATATTCTGAAAATCTTCTAAAAAATCCTAAAAAAAAGAGTTCTAAAGCCACAATTTGAAATCAATTTTGAGTTTTTCGATTGATTGAGAAGTAATTAAGCTGAGTTTAGAAGAAAAAGATATCTTAATACTGCATATTGCATGGCTCATTGAGTTTTCATTTCTCTCACTTAGAAGTGCCAATGCTGGAGTTCTGCCGGCAAGAGTAAACCTGTCTTTCGAAAAACTGAGTTGAAGTTGGCGATATGCACTTTTATCGCCAATTGACTCAAAAATTGTCTGGTCCGACAAACCAGCGAAGAGTCCTAATTAGAAAAGGCAAGCACATTTAGAAAACAGTTCCTATAGATCATTCTTTTATTTTATATTTTTCCATTGTCCTTTATTTTTTGTATTTTATGTAACATTTTGGAAGATTGCTAGCAATATGCTCCCGACATTTGAGAAAACATCTGGTTGAGAAAATTTGAGAAAACATGGGACAACGAACTTTCACCCAGATTGGAGGAGATAGAGATTATATAAAAAACAGGGATCAACCAGTAATAAATTAGATTCTTCTATAAGTTTCAGTTATATTTCCCTTTCAAGCAAAAAATTTTAACAATTTCACACTTCCAATTTTTTCAACTTTAACTTTTTTATGAGCGCTAAATTGCTTTTTAGTAAAAAAATCCCCAAATGCAGCAAACAACTCACCGCAATTAATGTGCCAAATGGTAATGCAAACAACGACAGATAAGAAATTCTGCAGAAAGCTCAAATCGAAGGTCTTAAAAATAAATACTAATGTTGCGAAATTTAAAAAATTTGGGTAAAAAATTTAAAAATTACCAAGAAAAGATAAAAAAAAAAGAAAAAAACTTTAAACGAAAAGGAAATCTGCGAAAATTTTTTCTATACCGATTAGATTATATTTATCGAAAATAATTTAAAGGCACCATGCTGATTCGATTTAAAAAGATTATGTGAACTATTTCATTAATCGTTCGACAATAGCAGTGAACATAGATTAGTCCCTACGACAATAAGAAAAGAAAATAGATAAATGATATGGATTTTTAAATGACTTTTTTAAAGGGTAAATGTTTCATCAAGCTGAAAAATCATTAGGAAAAGCACAGTGATGTCGAGGCTTTTCATAAGTGAGAATTGAATATAAATTGAACAAATGGTTTACATAGAAAAGTTCCTTTGGGTCGACGATTTCAAATGATTTTTATTAATTTAAGCTAAATTAAGGAAAATTTATATGAAAAATTCACCTTTGACAATTTTCCAAGGTTCTGTAATTTTTGTAGTAATGCGAACAATGACAGGTTCTCTAGATGATGGTGCTAAAACTGGGGATTCTTCACCTGAACCTGAACCTTCATTTACAAAATCTTCATCATCCGACCAGTCCATCATATTGCCAGAACCTTCGATCTTATCAATAATCTGAAAATAATGCATTATATTGGATTTTTTTGATAAATTCTTGAATTTTGAGAATGAATGAAAAAATTTGGAGTCAGATTTGATGAAACCATATGGAATTTTAGAATTTAAGGTGATTTCAAGAATAAAATTCTTATATTCTTGATGTTTTCGACGGTACAATTCTTAAGTATTTTTTAGTATTTAGTATTTGTTTATTTTTAAAAAATTTATTTTTTCAAATTTCAGCAATAGATCCCAGAGTATTTCTATGATTTTATGAAACAACTGGAAGAGAAATGTTTTTTATTATTTTTTTTTCTGCAAAGCTCATCATTTTTGGTTAGCCTTCACTGAACTCGTAATAAAGATGGAAACTTTCGCCACTTGTCACTTGGCGATATAAATACTGCACCAACCTGATCTGAATTAGCTTACAAAAATATTTCCTACTCATTCTAAACCCACATATTTATTAAATGTTTATTAAATAAATATATAAAAGTCTTACTTTTACTTACTTTTCATCTAAAAAATCCTATTTCATTTTATTTTATTAATTGCATTAATTAATAATTATTGTGACATAATAAAACAGATTATGGAAATCAAACCCGCAAAGCTAATGCCTTTTCCCACAGTTTCTTCATCAGATTTATTGACTGCTGGAATAAGTTACCAAATAAAGTTAGTTTTGCCTCTTCAGTCTCAAAAATCTTACCAACATTATTCAAGAATCAATGTGCTTAAAACTTCACTGTAGCTCATAGTATTATTTTTTTCCAAGTTTTAATACAAGGATTCTGCATCTTTCAGATCTTTCATTCTTACCACTCCCTTACTTTAAATTTTGTTGTTATTATTTTATTTTTTATTATTGTATAAGAATAAAGCAAATTTTACCCTTCTCGGTTTTTCTCAAATAAATGAAACAACAGGCTTGCTTGAAATGATATTTTAATCAATAGGCTACTTAGCTATATAACCTATCTAAAATAAATATTAATGGATTTATTTTATAAGACATTATAGAATTGCAATAGCGAATTATTAAGTAGTTTTTCTTGTTATATTTGAACTCTTTTTCATAAAATATTTCATAAAATATTTTTATTGGATAAATTTAGCAAAACTAAAATTTATAAAAATTATTCCGGCATTTAATAAAATAATAGTCGCTAAAAATTGAAGAAATTTTCGGCCGCTTATTGAATTTTATGATGCGATTTCGATTGATGTGCCACCCGCTGACTTTTTTTTACAACCAAAAATTGCCAATAATCACCAACCGTTATGATAACATAAAAACTTTTTTCGAGACCGCTACCTCGAAGGTTACAAAAGAATTTGAATTTTCATGGAATTTCTATTAAAAGTACTTTATTTTCGCAATTCTCATTTCTATAAATATGGAATATGAAATTCCGCTGGATCGATAAACCCAAACATTTTTGTTTTTTGACAATAAAACTAAGAATGAATGAGTTCTCTCCTTACCTTTACTTATTAGAGCAGTTTTTTCCTTAACTTATATAGTCATGAGATTAAAATTCAACCTAAAATACCTTTCAAATATGGACAAATATGGCCAGAGAACAAAAATATAAAACTAATGAAAAATGTGGATTTACCGGAATTTTTTTCTAAACTGCAATGGAAAATAAATAATAAATAAGTTGTTGGAAAGAAAATGACTAAAGAAGAAAGGTTTTACTCGAAAGGTAATAAGAACAATTAAAAAAGGTTGGAATGCAACTGGAAAATAATTATTCCAAATTTATTTTATAGATATGAAAGGAAATTACAATAATACAAGAAACAAGGATAAAAGGAATTCAATTTTATGCTTCAAAAGCTTGTACCAAAATAACAAATATATACATAGAAACTCTATGAAACCTATTCCATAGTTCCAATATAAATCTACTACAATCCACTAAAATGCCAGTGAAAATTTCAGCATCCTCTCAAAACTCTTAGTACAGGTTTTGTTGTAAAATGAAAATGAAACGCGCCATTTATCAAAAAAATTAGCTATATTGAGATATGCACGCAAAGTAAAATGTAAAATATTTCTTCTTTATTTTTGTTTAATGAATGGTTTGAGAGATTAAACGAAGTATGGTTTGGGAGATTAAACGAAGTATAATAGCTTTAAAAAAACTTATAATGATTCAAGACCGAATGAAATAAAAAAACGAGAAATTCATCGCCGATGATTTCCATTTAGCAGAAACCAAAAAAACTTGTTGCAAATTTTCGATCTTCTTTCGGCTATTTTATTTTTTGCAACCTTTAAAAAAAGGACATAAAAGGTTGCAAAAATTAGATTGTTACGATTTCCTCAAAGCGACTTCATTTGATTGAAACAAAGGTCGAAATTTTGGTTGAATGGATACTGAATTTGGTTGAATTTTGGTTGAATGGGTTAGCAGTTGATTATGGTTGAGTTATTTTGTCAACAAAAAGTGATTTTCTTTAGTTATTTCATTCACATCATTGAATATCCAAAAAGTTTTTTAAATTGAGAAAATTCCTGCATAAACTTTCACTATTCCATGGATTAATAAGGGGCATTCATTTGCCGATGATATTTCTTTCCAGCAATCATTATCCAAATAAGTTTAGACTTTTGCCTACTCATTTTTCATTCGCAAGCAAACTCAAAACCATTTTTGATGGAGCTTAATTTTTAAGATTTCATAACACCTTTAAGGCTTTTTCGAGCCTCAGATTATATGTTACCACCAGTTTTTCCTCGTCGTTTCTCCTAATAGCATTTATCTTTTCTGGTTTGACTGGTCCCACTGAGTTCCGCTAGCGAAACTCTTCCGTACGATGTTTTACTTATTGTGATAGATTACCCACACCGAATAATAGCAATTATGCCGCAAATGACCATAGAAATTTTAATATTAATTTTAAGTATCACGCTTATGTAGTAATTTCCAACGCTATCCATAACTTTATTATAACGATGTTATAACGAAAAATTCTAATTCATCTAATTTATATAGATTTAATTCTAATTTATATAGATTTATGCAGCCTTTAGTTGCCAAAAGAACCAAAAAGAAACCAAAAGTGATCGAAAAATAGTTAAACAGGATTTTCAAAACGATATTCTTCATCAAAAAAATATTTGATAACTGATATTTGATTTATTTATAATTATATGAATTCAAATTCGGCTTTCTAGTGCTTGAACATTGGCACGAATAGATTTCCCTTGTGAGTAGGTAAAATGATTAATTTCAATTGAATAAAATTAAATAAAATAAATTTATAAATAAATTAATTAATAAAATAAAATAAAATATTAAGCATTCATCAATTCTGAGCTTGTAACAATTGGAAATTTTAGGCAGAGAGTTATGATAAAGTTAAGTGGATCGCCACCATCATTTTTTAATTCGACAGAGTCCGAACCCTTGCCTTTCAATGTTATCGACTCTGATAGAACTATTCTATCTTTAAATTTTTTCTAGCACCAAGTGGTTCCATTCCACAACAAAAATTTCTCATTGTATTACCAAACCCTGGTAATGCAAATATATAATACCTCAGTTCATGTTCAACAAAATGAAAATAACCTTTTTAAGCAAACAATAAAAAGTAAGAGTTCAATGAAAAATGTTGAACCAATTCCTTTTCTATCAGCAAATATCGGCAAATGAAATGGTTTTTCCCTCCAGTAGTATTTTCTTAATTATTAGTCAACAAACAAAGGAAGGTTTGCAATTAGTTATCTTTCAATGATGAAACAAATTTGCAAAAAGAGTTAATGTTAAAATGGTAATATTAACTCTTCCTTAATATTATGATTAATCCAGAAACAATCAACAATTTTCTTGTGGCAAATATTCTGAATAAATTTGCAAATAAATTTTTATATATTTTAAAAAACCTTAAGAGAAATGAAGAAATTGCTGAATATATGAAAATATGCTTAATTTTCATTGTTTGCTTAAAAAATTATTTTCTTTAGCTGCACAAGCAAATCGAATCGATGGGCGATAACGAATCCAGTTTACTCGACTTTTTATCAATATAAAACAATGCAAATCAAATCGAAAGAATCATTCATAAAATATGTTCGTTTTCGTATTTTTAGATTATAATATCTCCAAAGTTATATCGTCAATGAAGGGTTTGAAAAATGGAAAGGATATCAAAAATGGACACTCTTCCTAACTTCTGTACAAATAATAAGAAAATGGAGTCACTTAGGAATAGAGCTACTGGTAGAAGTGACGTGCCTTAATACCGCCGTACTTCGCTTTTAATTACAGGTCTACTCCTTTCGAGAAAGATCAATACTGGAGATAAAATCGCTAGGAATAAAAAAATTGGAAATAAAGTAGGCGAAATGGATATGATCCATTGTTTTATGGAATATTCCTTTGCCATGGAGTCCTTTCGCGATAGAAATACAGGTGAATCGCTAGCATCACCCGGATTTTTATACAGGCCTGCGGGGAATCGAACCTCAGCATGGGCGTCCCATTATAAAATATTGGTCACTGATCTATTAAAATAGGTGGATATAAAATAAATATTCTAATAAAAGTACCCAATACTTTTGGCATGATTCCATTCATGAATCCATTGGTTATTAGAACCCCTTTTGCACCACTTTTAATGAATTCCATAAAAGAATCAAATTTATGATGGCCTGACTCTAGTCGAAGGTACATAACACTTGACCATGATTAGTTCTTAGGCGGGTTCATTTAGTTTCATTCCGAAATGCAAATTTCCAGATTCTAATTTTCCATCAATTTTCTTCTCTATTTTTTAATATTATCGACAAAAGAGAACCAAAAATTGCAAAATAAATGTGAATAAAAATTTTAACCAGACCGACAATAAATTTCCAAATTTCGTTTCCATATAAATTATTTTTACTGATTAAAATCGATCGATCTTCTTTACTAAGAAAAATTTGCACAAAGTATGTTTCTCTCATATACTTTTAAAATTGCAGTGCAATAGATTATAGTTTCGAGCACTATGGTTCTGCCGCTAGAAAATCTGGCTAATGCTGAATTCTTACCTACATTTATATTCTCAAGTGGCTCTATGGTAAAATTAATGATAGCCCACAGAATAGAAGAAATGTCAAGGGGAAGTACATAAATCTTATCACTAACCGCTTCAAAAATGAATTCTGCTCCGCTCACCAAATTTCCCATTTCGTCCTTTTTGAACGGACAATTTAAAATTGAAAAAGGCTTTTATTTTTGGCGAATAAATTCAACAAAAATTTGGAAATGAAATCGAAAATTAAAAAATTTTTATTGAAATTTTAGAGTTCGGTCGATTTTAGCATAAACTTTTTTCAACTACTGCATATTTTTTTACCGAAATAAATTTGCATTAAATATATTTGTAAAATTGTATAATCTCCTTAATCTTATAAATTTAAGTAATAATATATTTAATAAATTTTAATAAATTAATATAACAGAAAATAAATAATTAGACTCTAATAATTGACCACTGCTGCCTTATACTTCCGTTTATTCATCATTCATTAACTAATTTTATCTAAAGCCGGTACATCGGCGGCCCAGTGGCAAGATAATGGTCATCGAGAATCGAGACTTGTGTTCGAGTCCAATTCATGCTATTCTTCCTCGGGCCGTACTTTCGCCTAACGGAGATTAAGTATAGTAAAATGGTTCAGTGTTGTATTCAGAGCGCCGGTGCTGAAATAATAGAACCTGTCCAAAAATCGGGTGCTGGTGGCTTAATTGCGATTCTATGCGAATACAATCAGTAATGGGTGAGGACTCTTAAAAAACAAAGTAATAATCGAACAAATGGATTCAATACAATACGGATTTAGTTGTAAGAATTGTAAGAATTAGGGAGAAGTTTTCAATGCTCCAAATTCTTAGTTTATGCAAGCACAACTAACAGCTTTAATTTCCACTATGGAAATTGCTAAACAAAAATTTTGTATAGTACTAAATAATATTACCAAATCTTAATGTGAATTTTAATTGATTTGTGAGTTTTTTTAGCTCGGATGGACTTTTTTTAATGAGAAAACTGCGAGAATTTATCAATCATCAACATTCAATTTATTAATTGCAAGAATTAAGAGAAATGATGTAAGAAAATTTTTCAAATTTGGAAGAAAATACCTCACAAATAACAAATAATTGACAGAATGAAATAATCTAAATAATTTTTTTTTTTCTAAAATCCATCCTATTTGTCTATGGAATGTGGGCTCCTAATTTCTTTACGCAATTTTCTACTCGATCGACCTTCGCATGGAACTTATAGTACCAGTGGTACAAATCGACATTCAATTAAGACTGCGGAATGTATAGGCAAGAAGTCTATTAAAAACTTGGTATTATATCATTTTTAGTTAAATAATGAGAATAGAATTTTTAAAATTATTTTTTACAAGGAAAAGATGAATTAAAAAGAGAAAAAATTCCTTACGACTACGTTTGGTTGCAATCATTAATATTCGAAGAAGATGGGAAGAAAAATTGACTGACGATTAATGAAAAGATTGCTGTGCCTCACAAAATTAAACAGGTTTTTTAGATGTTAAACTTAAGTTTTATAATATATACAAGCAGTTCCATTTTAACATCCTTGTATATTGTAAGTATTCTTGAAAACACAACTTATCCGCTTCTAATTTATCAAATCAAATTAGGTGAATTTTTAAGGGTGGAAAAATGGCGCAAAAAGTGCCTCATTGACCTCATTTTGGCTTCGAAATTTCCTTAACTGTGTTTCACTTCATACTTCCACTTTTATTTCTTACTTACTTACTTAATACTTTAAATCATTATTAAAAAAATCGAATATTGCAAGGTTATTATGAAGTATAAATTTCAATTATACTTTATTATTGCATTATTTATTATTATATTATATATATCGAAAACCGCATCTATGTAGTCGCACCTCACTCGATCTTGCTATATGGCTGCGACATCTGGCCATTGAGAGTGGAGGATATTGATAAGCTATCTCTTATCTCTATTATCTTCCTTTAACCACTAAGATGAGATATATCTTACGGATCTACTGAACGGATAAAATCATTATGATTGCATCCACTCTCGTTCAGAAACCACTTGCATTCCAACATAGAAAGCCATTTTCACCGGTTAGAAGCACGTCGCTCACCACAGAAGGTTGGCGTTAAAGGAGAGGAGGACCATTCAAGTCCTGAACTGATACAGTTAGGAAAAATTCTAAACATATAGGGGTACAGCTCCCTAGCCAGAGATATATGGACTTAGGCGATGGAAAAAGGAATGGCTTCTATTACTGTTGATGATAGCATTAGATCGCGCAGCTTGAAAACTTTTTACCCTTGTACCCATCCTAATCAGTGGTGAGTGCTGCTAGAAGAAGAACTGTATTAATTTCCAGTTCTAACTCTGCTTAGTCGAAATTTTCGAGCACTACAACAGAAATACATGCTGGTCACTAGTAGCATCTGAATTGCTTGATAACAGATTTTCAAGGTCAGACAATCGAAGCATTAATGCTAAACGCAAGATAAAGAGAATTTCGTGGATGCGAAAAAAGATTAACCACGATAAGACAAAAAGATTTGAAACTTTTTATAAAAATGGCATGCAAACGTTTTCTATAAAATTTCAGCTAAATCTTTAGAAATCTTCGTCTGAAATGTTTCATTAAACCCAAACAGTTTTCTTTCTAGATAGATGGCAATATTAAAAATAAGATATACTACAAAAAATTGAAGATCCTGTAACTGAGCGGTTTATTGCTCCGATAACCAATTCAAACATCATGGAAGCTTATTTGTTCACTACAAGATTCTTTGGATTGGATAAATTCTCCAAATGCTCTTCGCAGTTCAAAGAAATCTGTTAAACTTGTTCGAAATCGACTGTACTTATTATTATTATATTTCTTATTATATCTAAAGAAAAAAAAAGAAATAAAGGGAGTTGTACGATAAGATAACTGCAAAATGCACGATTCGATTCTTTTTGTAAAATTTTAAGTGCTTTTTTCGATGATTTCGAAGAGAAAAAAAGAATCCAACAAAGTATTATAAATATAAGAATATAAAGGCGATATAAAAGTGGACATTTTCATCGTTTTTAAGAAATATTCTATACAAATGACCGTATAAAATTGTATTCGGAACATTGAAAAAGTTGCTGCAAAAAATTTTGAACTTAAAAAAATAAATTGAAGTCGTGAAAATTTTTTTAAAAAATTTAAAAAAAAACTAACTTCAAACCACATATCGACTAAGTAAGTGGTTAGCGCTCACCAGTTCTGGTTAAGCTAGCTCCGCCAACTGTAAATGTGGTTAGACATTTTTACCAGAGAGTCATTTAACAATAGAAGCACAGATGGCTCGCTAGTACAACTTGGACTTCTTAATTAAAATTTCAAGATGTTTCGGGAATTAAAGCCGAATCCTTGTTTCTCTCGCAACATCAAAATTGAAAGCTATGCTAAGGAAAGAACCACTTTCGCAAATCGACAGTGCAAGCAACTGGTTCTGAAGAAGTCAAAAAAGGTTTGGACGACTCTGTTCATTTAATCTGTCTAAAAGTGCTCGAAAAAATTTGATTGGTGGGTGAAAAATTTATTGATTCTCAAGTGCATCCCGATTTGTTCTAAAACCAATCTCCTTAAACAGTTATGATATTTTTCTCAAGTATTTCCATAAACATTCTTGTCCATAACCACATCCAGTAAATCTATAACCATGAGAGACGAATGCTTGCGAGATTACTACGAAAATACTTGATAATTGATAGCGAAACGATCTATTAAAGGTTTTAAAAAGCATAGAAATTCATTTTATGGCTGAAAATTCAATGTTTATGCATAAAAATAAAATAAATAAAAGTTGTTTCAGTGTTGTTTTATATAAAAATTTATTTGCAACTATTCTATACTTATAGATTCGCCATTGATACAAATTTGAGCAAATTGCGGATTGTTGTCAAAGATATATATTTACAAGGAAAATGAGTGGGCCATTAATTACGATTTAAATCAATATTATCAAAACTGGAGGTATATTATATATTAATTTTAAAATAATTTTGACCAATTTATGATAATTATGATAGTTTACCATTATACTTTTAGTTAATCTTCATTATTCTAGCTCATTTACTCACTTAATTTATTTATGTCCAGTCAAAAAACAATATGTCAAAACCAAAAAAGGCAAATCAAGGTTGACAAATAATTAAGATTAAATTAATTTAATGAATAATTTTTGCAAGGATTTAGGAAAGTACATCATGGAAATCACAAATGCAAAGAATAGGTTTTTGATAAACAATCATAAGCGACGTTAATAAGAAACATGCAATTCTTGTCATATACTTGAATTTCGCTCAGCATATTTAGCTTATCACATAAACTTAGTTGCATGTGGCATTCGAGTAAAAACTCTGCAAGTATTTAGAGCTAAGTATTTAAGCTATTTTCAGCTTGGGAAATTTAAGCTCTATTGGATTCTCAATCGGATTACTTAAATTCATTCAGTTAAGCATCAAACGATTTCATAAATCCTATGCGTCAGCAAAAATGAAAAGGTTTTAACCAAAAGATGTTGCACAAAATAGATTTGTATTAGATTTGAATCATTCACAGTAGACAAAACGTTGGCAAAATGATATACATTATTGCATTATTTACAACGGTTGCAGACAGGCCTTAGCCAAAATAAGTGAACAATTACTCTCGCTGCAAATTTTTTTGCTAATAGAGTGGTCAAGCTTGGAAAAAAAGCTCGAAATAATTCTTCATTAAATGTTATCATAATAGTCCTCATCTTTACTTTCAGCCACCGAATAACTTTCATTCTCTAGACGAAAATCAACCGAAATTTGAATTCGACCATTTTCAAAAGTGACTTGTGAAGATTTTTGCGGTAAGTCAAACACGATTGGCATTGTTATACCTACAAATATTTACTAAAAAAATATCGTTTTATCAGAGATTTTTCATTTAATCAGCTTCAAACACAGCTATTTATAAATTTTTCGAGATCTCTTGACTTCAATTTTCCGCAAAAGTCGATGTGAGTCAATGTGATTTTTTTTTTGATTTTTAAACAGGTTAACATGAGGACTCTTTAGCGAGTGATGCTGGCGACTCACCTGTATCTCTATCGCCAAGGGACTCCCTGGCATATTGCCCAATGCGACAAGCCAGTGGAGCGAGTTTAACCAATAATGGTGAGGACTCTTTAAAAAAAAAAAAAAAAAGTTAACAAATTCAATATCTGATTTGAAAAAAATAAATCATCTTTATATAAAAAATGAATACATAGGAAATATTGGTGCAACTAGGTATCAAAAGTATCAAAATGTACCTTATTCTAACTTGACGTTGCTCTAATCTAATCGCAGTTTGGTACCAAAGGTCATTTAGGACTAGAAAAAGAGGTGGGTATCAAAACCATCCAGACATTTATTAAGGACCAATACCAGGAACACGGTCTTCAACAACTTGATTTTCAAGGATTATCCTGCTCCATTTTTGATAAAAAAATTTCGTAAATTTCACCAGACAGTCAATAATTTTTTAAAATTTTATTAATTTATTGGTTCAAAAATTACAGATAAATTTTATTTCCTAAAATTACCATTTTGTAATTTTTTTGCGACATCTTCGGCGATAATCAACTCATTGAGAGCACCGACGAGAAATTCCAAACTTGTAGCATCGACACCGGCAATCCCACTTACAACGCCAAATACTTTGAATTTGATTATCTCCAAATTAGCATTGAACGTATAATTTATGAAAGTTGGCTTTTTGAAAACCAACTCAGCAAACATACCAGCTGTGAGAAATCGGTTTGTACGATTGATTTGCTAAACAAGTAAAGGATCATAGGGCCATAATATGTTGATTCTGGTTATCCATTTATATTAGTGCGTATCCATTTATTTATCATATGAAAACTGAGTATTCATTTCCAAGTATAGTAATAGTTATAGTGATAAAGAAGCTGTCAGCATAGTGATATTCAATAATTTACGTAAAAGAACCTGAGCATGAGCATCGATTCGACTCCATAGTGAAACAGTGGCTTGATCTTTTCGTATAGATATCCTTGGATACGTGGTCGTATACGTATTAATCTTCACGATTCCTTTTGGGAATTGTACGGCCAGCGCTAAATTAAAATGATATGGCTTTCCAGCACGCATAATTGTTCTCGCCAAAATTCACTATGAAAATTAATTTTATTGCATCATACCTGGAAAAAGTGTACCAGCACATATCTCATCTTCATTGCATTCCGTTCTTAAATAACCAGAGAGACTGTTATTCATACTTTCTGCACTAACTTCATAATCAAATTTTCGATACTGATCCATCCAAAAAAATAAGCTTGAAATGGTGTAGTTCGACAGATAAAAATCGACCATTCCCCCATTCGATGAAGGGATTTGTAGTTGCGGTGTTCGGTAGGGCAATCGAAAGTCATTGAATCGATGATTTCCTGAGCTTATTCATTCACTAACAAATTTATTAAATATAAGAACATGAAAGAAATCATATAACCTAATTAAAATTTTTTATTCGCCTAAGAGTGATATACTTGAAGAACATATTTGAAGAAATAAGGTGCAAAACAATGTGTACGTTGGGCCTTCATTGGAAGATGATGACAACAATTGAAAAAATAACATTATTTAGCTGAAATTTCGGAAGATATCTTCATTACCTTTCCTCAAAATCCCAAATGTGTTCCCACGATGTTTTAAAAGAATTGAATCATTAAGATATTGTATAGGCTCAACTAGGCCATAATTGAGGAAATAGTAATCAAAAAGTGCAGCACTTAGAGGCGTATTTAGTAAGTGGTTTGCGACAATCGGCATAAGTTCGACAATGAAATTCGAACATAAAATCTGAAACAATTTTTCAGATTTACTGGATCTAAGCATTCTTAATTGTGACATCCTATTTTTTGCTGCTATTCTTAATAATTTTCCTTCAATTAATGGCTAACGTACACAACGACCAGTGTGGTGTGAATATAATTATAGATTTGCCCACTGTCGGGAATAATTTCGAAATTTCTTTGCATTTGCTATGCCATATGTTTTATCTACTTTTAAAATAAAATTTTTATATTATAAATGCTTCTCCTTTTCATTATTTTACCAGTAATAATTTTTTAATGTAGCAAAAATCAGAATTAATTTATTACAAAATCTATTTTTTTAGTTCCAAGATTCTAAATGATTACTTCCAAGGTGGCTAGCGATAATTTTCCTATCGAATATTTTAGTGGATTCGATCATCAATTAATCAAATATTTTTTGAAAACATTTTTTCAAATGATCGAATTCACTGAAATAATGAAAATGAATTCTTAATGGTTCTAAATATTAGTAGAAAAAAGCAAGAAAAGTAGCCAAAGATGAACGTCGTCAATTTTTTCACGGATGAAGTGATTTATCAATGTGATGTAATTGGTTACAGTTACTGCATCGATAGCTGTATAATTCAGATGTACTTGGCTATTCGGTATCTTACAATATTCCAGTTCATTGCGCAAATGACCATCTGAATTGATCGCTGCAGCAAACATTAATTCGACAATCGCCCTGAATAATCTTTCTGCCGTAAAATTAAATAGATTTGACAAAAAATTTGACAAAAATGTTATTTGAAATTTCATTTTTTTATTATTAATCTTTAAATTAAAAAACTGGTTAAATTAAATATTCAATTTTCAATTAAGCTTCAATTTTCAGTCAAAGGAAAGCACAAAATTTTTATGTGCAATTAATATAAAATTAATATAAATAATATAATATAAAATTCTATAATAAATAAATAATAATAATAAATAATATAAAATTCTCTGGACAAATAGAAATCCAAATTTTTGTATGTTCTGTTCGAATAAAATTTTTATTACTTGTTGCTCATTGTGAGAAATATGCATCGTAAACTTATCTATTTTTTGCCTTTTCAAATAAAAATAAATATTACAAGTATTTCGAAAAATAAAATATTACCTTTTAATTATTAACGTAGCACTACCATAGTATTCGTTACCCATAAAAGATATTACAAATAAAGATTCAACTGATATTTCAAAATGGGATCCCTGCAATTATTTTACTCGCTCAGTGAATTTATTTCTGGTTTTTACAATAGTGGATATTTTCTTGCATAAAATATTGCATTTCGAGGGTTCATCGAGGTTGCAGATTGAAGTAAAACTGTGGTAATCAAAGACATAGACGATTACCGTCCTTACCTAGTTGAGCTTCATTTCAATGGAGAATTAGCTCTTAATCGTTGAGTTGTATGTTCATTTTAAAATTTTTATTTTTAACTACAATCTTGGTTCTATATTTTTCCTTCTTCAATAATATCCATATCAAAAGAGCTTATTATATTCGTACCAAAATTTGATCAGAAACAGGATAAGAGGGTAGATACTGGCTTTCATCGTGATGAAAGACAATTATCCTGCTCTCTGTCGAGGATAAATATTTCATTAAAAAATCCGAGTGTTTTTGACGACCCATTTATGCTTCAAATGTATGCTTAGCAAAAAAATGCTAACACCAATCTTAACCAGAAATGATAAGTGCCAACTAAATTTGACCACAAATATGTGAATGGTATACATCAGCTTATTCAAACTTGGTTACTTATGTGAGCCCTCTGTGGCATGAAAAAACGTTGCGAAAAATATTATAGCTATTGAAGTAAAACTGTGGTAATCAAAGACATAGACGATTACCGTCCAAAGAGTACCTCGACCAGGCACTGAGATCATTATTGATTTAAAAATATTTGGATTGTATTGAATATTTTGAGATGACATTAGCCGAAATTTAACCTGTAAAATAGAAATTAGAGTAAAAATAATTGATTCTTCACACTGTATTAATTCAATGGTTCAATTTCGAGTGGTGCTGAGGATTCAACTATAGTTTTATTCCCATATGCACTCTGGCGAAGGGGTTTCTAATAGTCAGCAAAAACAGTTATACCAGAAATCGTTAGTAGACGATCAATTATTTTACACGTTTTGATTCGAAATAATTTTTAAAAATAAATAATTAAGTTTAGCATTGTTCTCTTTTTGTTATTGCTTATTGTTCTCTTTTTCAGGTCAATCGTTGGATTTAATAAATTCAGGCGAAGAAAAGAATTCAAATTCATGCCTCATTCGAAAAAGTTTTCGACAAGTTAAATGTAAAATCGCCATATTTCATTATTCTGTTGATTTGCTGCCGAATGAATTCAGCAAATAAATCTAGTGCATTGTGGCTGATCCGTGTTACGAAACCCGCATTTGTGTCTGATTTCGCTGAAAAAAAAGAATTTTGCCTTGAATTGTCAAAGATTTATTCTCATTTATGATGATTTCAAGCAACCAATCTTAAACAGTCTAAATCATTGGCCACAATTATGACAATTAAAATTTTTATAAATCTCTATTAAAGATTAAATTAGTAAATAAGACTTATAATAAACTTTCGAAAAAAATCTTTTTCCATCGTAAAGAAAATGACGACATTTACGACGAAAAATTGGCAGATGGTAAATTTTTTCCTTTCCTAAGTTTAAAAGTTTAACTGAATAGTAAGAGAAGGGTAGGAAGAGAAGCCAGGCTTATAACTGCCACAGTCAATACATAGAATTGCATGGTATAAATGATTGGAACTTTTAGGATAAAACGGAAATGTACAAATGATTTAGCTCTCAGAAAAATATTGAATTTCAAATTGAGTTGAAAAAATGAAAAAGGTATATTCGTTTCTTAATGAATTTCGAAAGGAGAAAGAGCATTAAGGCAAAAAAATAGAACAGGCACTATCCAAATATACATTTGGAGACAAGATGATTGAACGGAGAATCACTCAAATTCTCAAAATCTGAAATTCGAAATCTCATAGTTCAAAATGTGGAATGAGGGCGAATTTTTTGGCCTATTTTAGAAGAAAAACCAAAAATAATTTTCTTTTGTGACAGGAAGGATTCTCAATCAAAAATTCACTTTATCATTTATTTGCCAGACTGATTGTTGCCTCCTTTATATTTTATTATTCTTTTTTTCCCCAGTGTGTATGATGGAAGAATTATATAAGATTGTTTCCTTTCAAAACTAAAGTAAATTGAGTTTTTGAGATTAACCAGCTGTGAAGCAGTTAAATGATAATTTTTATTGGTGCTATATGCAAATAGGATCTCGTGAATAAAGGTCGCAACAAAATTTATAAATGGACAGAACACCATGTCTTAACGAAATCTGTGGAGCACAGCCATCCTTTTCATGCAAGTTTGATATCGAAAGCAATCGAAAAAATAAAAAAGCAGGCGATGAGCACTAAAGATCTCCAGTAGAATCATTCATTCCTGTGGTTTCAATCTCTATCTCTTCTATCAATTCTTTTTGACATAAAATTTCAAAGAATCAGATAATAATCTTCACAGGTTCGCAAAATCGAAGATATTGGCGGCAGAGATATAGTTTATTGAAGAAATACAAGAAACTTTAAATGGTGAACTATTCTGAATAAAAGATTTTATTGTAAAAAAGGGAATGTATAAAATAAAAGATAGTAATGTATAATAAAATAATAAGTCAGCTGAATAACGTTTGATTCGAGAATGATCAGGAGATATAAGCATCTTTGGAACTTTGTTGATATCAGGTCACCACTTCTGTTCCTGCTCATTAGCGGTCTCTATCTAGACTACGGGGTAGCTTTTTGTTTTTTTGTTAAGAATTTTCATTTTTTTATTTCATTTTATTTCGAGATTTTTATTTGGAAATTTGTTCTTTATTTATGATTTTTTTGAAATTTTCATTGTAAAATATTTTCCATAATTTCAAATTCACATCTTTTTTAGTTTTTTAAATTTGTTAATAAGATTTTTGACCACAGTTAGTATTTTTTAAATTTTTTGAGATAGACAAATTTTGTCCGATGAATTATGAATTGGAAACCCGCTTTGATTGGATTAAATAAATAGATTGGATTTGATTGGATCATGAAAATATAAATAATTATTTAAACCATATTTGTTTTATTCTAAGCTAATTTTATTTATTTTAAGCTAGTTTATAATTTGGGAAAGTGAAGTGATTTCTGGAGTATTGCCATTAAAGTCAGAGGCTATTCTTACTGTAAAAGAATTTTAATCATCTTAAATTCATTTCTGAAATTTTTCGAGTATCTCAGTATATACTCAGAATATTTCGCAAATAAATAGGCTAAGGCTATTCTTTTTTCTCATTCGGGATTTGATTTTGACATAGACATAGACTCGATCGAGTAGCCTAAGTTGAAATCAACAATTATAGATTTGATTCCCTGAGTAAACGTGCTATTAAAATAGAACCCGTATTCCCAATAGTTTGATACTATGGTAAAAGGAAGATGTAAGATATCAAGTCGAAAATATTAAGCATTTTTAGGAATAAGATTTTATGAATAAACAAGTTTTCCACTTTTCCACCAAGGGAAGAAATTGTTCGTAATTAATGTGATGGACAAAAATACTTTTTCCTCTATAATTAATCCACAAAATACGACGAAATTCTCGAATATAATTGTAGATATGGGTCACTTCAATCTGATTATATGGATAAGTGATAAAAGACAAGGTTATCGAGAGGTTTTTATTTTTCTTAGCAGGAAGAAAGGAATCGATTCCCCGAGGCACTTCATTCTGCAATCAGGTTACATGAATTATAAAAAAGAAATCGCAAATGATGGTCCTGTTTTTTTAAAATTTCGAAGGCCATAATTCTGATAAAATTAAAAATTATTTTGTCTCCTTCATATTTTACTTTCTTAGAAAACTATTTGCATAAATCTGAATCTAAATTAATCCTCAATCGCAAAATTTATTATATTAGTCAGATAATTTATGTAATAATTCAAAAAAATAAAGCTTTCAAGATGTTATTACCTGACATACGAGAAAAATTTGGTTAAAACACTCAAAAAACCATAATAATTGAGAATTATTATTTTTTAGTTTAATTATCTGATTGACTAAATTACTTTGTGGAAAAAAAAAATCTCAGCAAATCCACTTTGTTTTTTGAATTATTAATGAAGTTTGGTTGATAAAATAAATTAAAGCGAATTATTTATGTTGATTCTACAAATTTCTCGGATTTTCCTGAGAAATTTCAACTATATTCGGCAATAATAGAAGTAGGCTAGCAAAGCGGAGTAGATAGTGGCTTATATATGTTGAAAATAGATAGGCAAGGTTTCGAATTCTGCCTCCGATAAAAGAAAATCTCATTAAAAAGGCCTAGTCCTAATAGTAATTCAACTGCATTTCTATCGCTAAATGAATACAGAAATTTCCAATTGCAATAGCCAGCTGGGCTACTTTAACCAAAAATGATGGAAGCTTCCTTTTTTACTTGTTATTTTAAAAAAATATCAATAAAATCAACATTTCACTTTAACTTTTTAATTAGATAATTTAATTAATTAAATAATTATATAATCTTTAATTTAAAATTTAAATTTAAATTTTGAGATGATTTATGAAGCAAAAAAAGTTATAATATTTGGACATAAAAGGAGATATATGATATTTATGCTCGCTCTACATCATTATCATTGTCATTATCATTTAAGATGAGAAACGAGTTAGCAAACTAAATTTTATCAATTTTTCTCATCATTCTTCATTCATTTTTTTATCATTTAAATTTTTTTCATCATTCTTCGTTCACTTTTTATCACTAAATAATTTTCGAACTATTAATTACGAAATAAATTGCGAAAATAATTTTAGTTTCTTCCTTTATTCTATTCTTCCTTTTGACAACCCATCTGTATTATCGCCATTTACCTCCCTGATAAAAATTTCTCACCGCACTAGCAATAGAATGAGCCTATCCAGAATTTATCACTAACATTTTATAACGACTTATCACTTGAAAAAATAATTTACAAAAGTTAAATATCGCATTTGAGACGTTAAAAGAGCAGAGGCGAATATCCCATCAAACTGCAAAATTGTAAAATCATTTTGACCTTTCGATATTTTCTACGGAAATGATGCATG